TTATCTGAACCATGAAATAATTTTGTAAGTTAGCTTTGAGTATCCCAGTATATATGCTGTAGCATACGGGAAAATTTGAGCAAGAAATTGCCAAAGTTCGCCTTCAGTTGCGCATACCAGTTGGTCAAAACAGTGCTACTTCCACCCCGAATGCTGTTCTTCAGAGCCAGGTAGTTACTGTTCTGCAAAAGCGTGAGGACTTAAAATTTATGGGCATGGTCCTCATACTCTTGGAAAGCTTTTTGCTAACTGTGTTCACTTTTTTCTTAGTCCTAACTTTGTTCTCCTACGGCAGTAAGGATGTGCTGATGGGTATAACAGCTATGTATTAGCAACCAGATCTCTAGTCCTTAAAAGATTTCTCTCGTAAAAGGGAGCTCTTCAGTGGCTTAGACTAGTATGGGTGGTGTTAGTGGTACACCGTAGGTCTGGAGTGTTGGGGATTTGGTTGGAGTGTATCCTGATACCCGACTGCTACAATGGATGCTTTGGACAGTTGCAGGTATTTCTCCCAAGACTGGGCTGTTGTTGGCATTCTGGGGCTGGACGCCTCCAACCTAGAGAATGTGAAAATTAACTATATTTGGCCTTCACAGCTGTAACTCTCAAGCAAGCTAGTGTTTGTCTTCTGGAAGCCATGCCATGCTGGTTTCCTTTGCTGCCGCGCAGATTTCCCCCAATTACAGACGTGTGATTTGAAAAATGCTGAATGTGCCCAGAGCAATTACATTGGAAGAACGTCTGTGGGCTCAGAGCTGCCCGTGCGTGTGCTGTGAGCGAGCTGTTGCCTGCAGGGAAAAGCACTGAGCTCCGTGTCGCGTGGCTGGGAGGCGGCTTGGGTTCTGGTTGTGTTGTGTACCATTTCCAACACGCCAAAGCCCTTCTCCTTCTTAATAACCCTGATTTTGCCCCTGAAGCATCCGGGGAAACAAATGGTAACAGCAGCAGCGTGACAGTGGTTTGATTCGTGTCCCTTCCCCGGCTTGCACGGACACTGCTGAATGGAGGTGCCAGGCAGCTAAAGGGAGCGATTAGCCCTGCAGTCGGGTGGTGTTTTCCTGTTGAACACTTGGGGCAAGGGGATGGTGGGCTTCAGCTTACCTTCAAATAGCAGCCATTGCTTTTGGACCCTTCTGTCAGTGTTTGTAAGTCTTCCAAGCTGTTGTTAAATATGTGGGGGAATAGAAAGACTTAAAACAAGTTGATGAGAGAAAATACTAGGGGAGCTGTACACACAGTGTATGGAGGTGGAAACAAGGCAGAGTTAGAGGGGAGAGATTGAAAGAAAGAGCTTATTTGAGAATAGAGAACTTATCCAGAGTTAAAATTCTTACTTTAAATTAGTCTTGTCTTAAGAAATTTAATAGTACAGGTGACATTCTGGAGAAGTAAGCTTCCAAACTTAAGATCCAACTTAATTCTGGTGTTGGGTTGTATGTGTTATTTTTCATCCACAGCCTGTTGTCATAGGAATTAGGTTGTATGCATCACCAGCTTACTGAAGAAAGCAGTAAACTGTAACGGCCAGCTGTAATCTTGGAAGATGGGGAGGAAGAAAGAGCAAAACTTCTCTCTGAGGTGGTTAAAATCCTGAATACATCTAAAATTACTGTTGTGCACAGGATTTCTTTTTTAAACTTGTCTAAGGATGACTTGATGCAGATCTTGATTAGACTAGGCTGTGTAGTTAAGTATGGCTTTACATGTTGCTTATCTCAGGGTCTTCAGAAGGTGGATCTGTGAGGTAGGGCAATTGCAGTCCAAATGCTGGAGGAATCAAAGGGAAAGTTTGAGAAGTCAGAAGAAGTTCCATCGTATCTTAAAACTGGCAGCTGGTTGCTTCGGGGAGAGGAATTGATGAGCTGAATTGGCAAACTGCAACCATGCGTCCCCTCGCAACGTGCTCAGGAAGACATTTACCTGGTGAGAAGTACAGAGATGGTGGAAGAAGCTCTGACTTCTTGACTCTGGTTCCAGCTTCTGTATCATAACGTTGGAGAAGGTTTCTTTTCCTCTCATCTTCCCCCTTTTCTGCTCCTACTGTTATCTTTTCGTTCTCTTCGTTGGAATGTCTTTGGTTTTTCATCTTAAACACAAGAAGTGTGGAAACAACAGGAATTGTATGTGAGCGTGTGTGTGTGTACATGCATTCATTTCAAAGGCCAGGGAGAAAAAATGTTTGAAAATAACTCCCTCCGTGTTTTTGTGTTTGTGGTTTTTTTTTTTTTCCCTTTCCACTCTTGATTATCTAAGCTTAACAGAAATATAAACTTGATGAAATGTATCACATCTAAAAGACATGAGAGGAACAAAACTTACCTGTAGTTTCTGGTAAGCTTGGTCTTAGCAAGTTTCCGATAGGTAGACTTTAGCTGAGCAGGAGTGTTACACTGAAGTCCATATTATAGTTTATTGTGGTTGAGAAGAGGAGGCTAAGTTTCTAAATGGAGGTTTAAGGAAGGTGTTTAATTGATTCCGATAGCTGTGGCCAATTGTTACATGAACTGTTTCTAGGAATAAACCGTTGAAGTGGCCCGGAATCATGGAGGATTTCGTTGCTGTTTACTTTAGACTTACAAGACATCTTCTAGAATTCTTTTTAGAAATTATCAAGAGTATCAACTTTCCAAAATGAACTAAATTCAGCCAAGTTCAGTGTTGAGACTGATGTGTTAATTTAACCGTGACTTGGTATTTATAGGGTATTTGTATTGCTTGGGTTTTAGTTCAGTTTCTTTAATAATTGCCTTTCATCTTAGATGTTGAGTTAAAAAAAAAAAAAGATACATTGTGGAATTTAGATTCTTTGAAGAAGAAAGGTGGGTTTTGGAACAGAAAAGATACTAGCATCACTCTGACTTTAAAAGTTGCTGCTTCCTCTGCATCCAAGTCCCTGGGCTTCATAGTCACATCAGGTGAAGTTGCTGGTTCCTTGGCTTATACCCCATTAAAATGCCAATTAAAGGTCTCTTTTAAGGATGGGGTGTTATTTTTAATTCAGACTGAGTCGATTTTGATCACTCCTCCAAACTTATTTTTGGTGACTTGCCTGCTATAACTTTCTTGCTATTTGCCAAATCTGTTTCTAGAATAGTATCACGCCTTTCTGTTCAGTCAGTGTTTGATGGAAATACCAAATGGTTATCATGTTCAGGAGCACCTGGGTTTCTCCCATTTGTTTCTTATTCTATATTCGGAAAATTGTCGTAGTTAAGAGAAACTTCTGTCCCTACCTAGTGCTGCCCTGTGTCCAGCTTTCCCTAGACCGATCCCTCTGCACCCCTGCCTGGGTCTGAACTTCCAGGCAGGTGTCCAGAGTTCTCACATTTTTGTTGCTCCATTTCCAGACATCCTGACTGCGCTCATTGGTCACATGCGGGCTGTTTTTAGCAGGGGTGCAGCATGTAGCACTGCTTCCACATCTTCTGTTTGCTTGATCTACCACGTTTATCTTTATTTTGATCTTTTCTGAATAGTATGTGTCCTTCAGTGATTGTACGCTACGTAGGTCTGCTGTTCTGTGTTGTTTATGCTTTTATAGTAATTGCAGCTTTGCCTCTTGCACCCGGAATTCAAGTTTGTTGCCTAGGCAGATAAAGAACAACCCTGCCACTAGCTGTGTTGTGTGCCTGGCTATGTTTTTTTACTAATATTAGCACTAATTTTTAATTTGCTGCCCATTTGTAATCTGCTGATTATTTTTTCATCTGTTTGCTGTTTCTTCTAGTGTACTAAAACAGGGTGTGACAATTAAATGACTCTTTCCAGCTTCCCCTTGTTTCTCATTGCAAAGTTCTTTCTTATGCCAGTGTTATCTTGGCTTGTTCACAAATGCATGTGTGTAGGGGTTTTTTTATAATTTTCACTAATAAGTTTCTACTGCTTTATCATGTAGTAAATGACAGTAAGGAGTTGTGTTGTGTCCCCCCTGCCCCAAGTTTTGCTGCTTTTGAATTGCAGCTTTCTTCTAAATGCAGATTTTGCCTTCTTTGATTTCCACTTCAGTAAATAAACTCAGAACAACTTTTTGTAACTGTTTAACAACCAATAAAAAAGACATCATTTTATCCTGCTATAACCAAATTGAAGGGATAATCAAGCTAATTATGATGAATTTCTTTCTGTTTATAATTTAAGGAGATGTGCCTGCTTACTTAAAATGCTTCCTGTTGAACTGAATAAGTAGCCAGAAGAACTTGAGTGTGGTCCTAGCCCCAAAACTAAGTATTTGGTGTCTGCTTCCTTTTCTCTCTCTCAAGACTCTTTCTGGAGAGCTTTGGTGGCCTGAGAAGGCTTTGTAAGAAGAAACTAACTTTAGTCAGTTCTGTTTTTTCTATCCCTTTGACGTTATGTCCTCTCTTGAGCTCCCTCTGACCAGCTAATGAGGTGGAAAATTGAGCAGTGGCATAGAGTCTTTTCACGTGGCTCTAGTTCCAGCCACAATGTTGTCCTTCCCTTTAGGATTGGGCAGGTGGCTCCTTGTTTTTTAAGAGACATCAACATTGCAAAAGCCTTAGTTCAAGCCCTTGCCATGTTTCTGGTCTGTCTCCAAGCTGTTCTTTGCAGCTTCATGGCTGACGAGTTCATGTCTGTTTGCCCTCCGGTAGAACAGAAGATACTTTGCAGTTAGACTATTCCCCATTTTTTTTTCTGTTCGCCTATTTTTAATACACTTGCTGGTTGCCACGTGAGTTCTGTATGACTGATAAAAACCATGCTATAGTTTTTACTCACACTGGTGGTATATAACTTCGCCTCAAACAGAGGTTGTTGGTGCTGTGTTGCAGTACTTGCTGGTTGTTACCACGCGTTTATGGCTTTGATCCTGGGTGGCAATTGATAGTGCACCCCCGTCCATTTCCATGTGTGCAGCCTGGGGAGATGCTGAAGAAGGCTGTGCGTTAAACAGCTTTCTGCTCGCTTGGGTGATGGTTACGCTAAGCTGAAAGACAGGCAAGGAGAAGGGGAGAAGCCAGAGGTGTGGAAGAAGTCCTTAGGGCATGGCATTCAGCTGTGATTTGCGTGACACCTGGGGCTATGTGCCACTTCATGGGAATAGTGGAGTTTTAAATAAACTGAACTGGACTCTCTGTGGAAGGTTGCCCGGTGGCCTCGATGCACGTATTTCCTGCGGCGTCGGCAGCGGCTGCGTGGGGTCTCCCTGGTGGTGCAGCCGCCTGGTCAACTTGGCTGCAGCGATCCTCACCTGTGGAGAAAGCCAACGATGCACGGAAACAATGTTTTGTAATGTACCTCTGTTGTGATTGTTTTGCCTGGCAGATACAGGGCTGACATCCTAGTTAACACGTTTTTTTCCAGGCAGCTCTAAGTTTAAAAAATGTGGGGATAGAGGAGTGGGGAATTTCGATCTGTAGACAACAGTCCTTCAGTTTTCCAAGGAAAAGACCTTGCATGGTCTGCAGTGACCTCCCTCTCCTCTTCCTTCCACAGCTTGGTTGGGTCTGTAGGGCTGTACCTTTCTGAGAACAAGGTATCTGCTCATGGGTGAATGATAGTGAACCAAGTTCACTGACAAAGTTCACCAAGTTCACTAAGGGTGAAGCCAGTTGAAAGGGCTCTGGCTTGACTATGCACTCAGGAGGGGGAGCCAGGGCTAGAATTACATACCAGGGCTTATGCAGTCTTGCTAGGGCATCCTGCTCTCCGGCACAGATATCCTGGCACCGACTTCCATTTTCCCTTTTCTCCTCCCCATCTTTGCTTCCCCACATCTGTGGTACTGGAATTAGCGCTGGCTGTTCAGGAAAAAATGTTGTGGCTCCTGGGTTGGGAGCCAGGCAATACCATTTCCTATGTCCTCAGCTGGTCTGGCTCTGAGGCAAACCAAGGAACCTGTGTCTGTGGATATTATGGTTAGCAAAGGCTAGCCTATATATAGTTTGGTTGATGGCTTTAGGCAAGCTATGATAAACCATGATCTTTTTTGGAGAGGAAGAATGAGAGGGATTACAGTGACAAGCTTTCAAACCCAACAATTAGTTTATGTTTTCAAAGTACGTCCACAAGTGGGGAGGTTGCAAAAACGCGTAATATTTTACAATCCTTAATGTAGAAATCTGTGGCTTTCTTTTCTTGTTCTTTTTGTTTTGTTTTGTTTTTAAATATATGGGACTTGATCTTAGGCTTCATTGTGTTTAGAAACTGCACATCATGTTGGACATGCAGCCGCTCAGGGAATGTGCTGACCTGTTGGCACGTATAAAAGAGAGAAAAAGCTTGTGTGTCATTTGAGGGTATGAGGGATGTAGAGGAGTAGGCTTGCCCACTAACATGTAACTTAAATGTGCATAGTTGTTAAGAAGGGTATGTCAGACAAGGCCACCACTGGACATACAGCCGTTTGTCTGAAGGTCTCAGCCAATTAAGATTTCTTTTGAACAGAGCTCTGTTTATGGATCAGCATTTTTTATGCAAGTGGGAGACAAGTAGCAACAATAAACTTAACAATGTTTTTATTCATTGACCTGACAGACTTCTCCTGCGATAATTGTCTGAGCACCATGGAGGCTTCTGCAACCTAACCATGCAGAGCAGGCACAGTGGGAGAAGACTTGACTGGCAGATCCTATTGCTTTCCAAGAGTATATTTTTCAAGCCTAGGGTTGGAAGCACTACAGGTGCACTGCAGTGCCCAAAATATTAAAGCTGTTAGGTTAGCTGCCCTTTCTCCCCTAAACCTGCTCATTTCCCTTAATAATGTGGGTATGTAAAATGCTAATGGTTAGTGTCAGATTCTTGTTTAAAAGGCCAGACCTTCTAGATAGTAACGCGTACCTTGGCGCCTGCTTCACAAATTCAGTTGTACTTGTTTTTCTCTTCTTTCTTGAGGCCAGATTTCTGGTATGGTTCTTAAGCATTAAACTACGGATACCAGTAGCAGCTCTGTTACCCTGGTTTTTGGCTTGTCTGTGTGAAGCTGCTGCTTCACAACAAATGAGGGTGTCTCACCAGTAGCTGCTGATTTAGACGAGTTTGAGTGCTGAGATCCTGCATTGATGGAAGCGGCATAAAAGCTGCCTCGAGTTTGGGCCAGCTTCTCTCGCCTTTGTGCCATGTAAATCAAGCAAAAAGCCATAAAGAGCTTGGGTAGAAATTCTTCACGGGGAAAGTCTTAATATAAGAGCCTCAGCTCACTTCTCTCCCTTTGTGTTTTGGTACTTGTGGAGTGTGGAGGACAGGGTCAAGAAGAGCAGAGCTGCTACCTTTTTCTGGCTGTTCCTGATGTTTCTCCAATGGCAGACGATTGAAAGAACGCTTTCCGCTATGGCAAAACTACACGTCGGTGTGATGCAGAATAAGAGATTTTGTTCTATGTTCTCTCCTAGTTGCTGGCATTATGGTGAAGACACTGCTTGATCTCCTTACTTGGCTTTTCTTGATTCTGTTCCTCACCTTCAGTCCTGCCAGCTCAACCAACAGATTTCACAGTCACCCTTCCCACTCCTTGAGTACTGCTCAAAGTACTAAGGGAACAACATGCCATAGCTGCTGCTTCCCTGTTCTTCACTAAGAGTGTTTGCTTGTCCTTCTCCTTGGGCTTGTGGGGAGAGAGGCGACCGCATGTGACTACATGGTGGTAGTTGTCAGACATATTAGAGGATGAAAGGTAACACAAAATATGAGCATATAGAGAAGACTAAGGATCCAGCCTTGGAAGAAAATACTTGTGTTGAAGGGACAGTCCCTAGTGTTTGAATCTAGTATGCAGAAGTATTTGAGAGACAAGAGGTAGATTTAAAGGGGGAAATGAAGGTATTAACAGTATCAACAGTTGGTCAGCATCATCAGCTGTAGCATCGACATAAGAGTGCCTATGTGATTTTACAGAATTGGTTTTATGCTATTTTTCTAGCAAAGGGCTGTATAGTTGCAGTCTGCCTGCCCATCCGTCAGTCTGTCCTTTGTAAGTTTTGAACACACTGGGTTTGTTCCAGGTAAGCTTGAAGGAGTTTTGGAAATCTCGGAAATTCAGACTCCTATAACATTTGTGGGGATGACTTGCTTTGTGGCAAAAGGCCAAGAAGAGTTGTAAGGAGACCCGGTTAGCTTTGCAAATTTTTTGGGGAAGGAGATCATAAACACGAAAGGTACTTACTTGAAAATATAATGAGTGATAATGGAGGCAGCCACCCTAAATCAACTGAAAATAGTTTTATTCCTGATTTTGTGCTAAAATGTAATTTAAATTAATATAGTATAATCCATAAAATCTTTTAATCCCTTCATCCTAACTTTTCACACTGAAAAGAGATACCTTTAGTATTTGTCTGTTGTGAGGAACAATAGGTTTAGTGCATTGAAGAATTTTGGCAAGGTAGTAATGTTTCTTCATGGGTGAACATACTTGTTTAGTCCCCATAATTGTTTTACAACACAATCTAAACATATGTTGGAAAAAAAAAAAAAAGTCCAGGTATTTTTGCTGCCCTGATAACTGTTTAGGCTCTTCAGGCTCTTTGCGTTGAAAATAAATTTCCCAAACAGTTTATGCAGCTGGAGAGAGGGGGGAGAACATTTCTGATTGATAGTGAGGAGCAGTAGGTGTGATCCCGTGATTGACTCTTGACTGCCACAGGGTGGTTAGCCCATGGAAACAAAAAAACGTTCCAGGCCGTCTGTACTTTAGGTCTCTCAAGGAGCAGTCAGCGTTGCAAAACATCATACATTGAGTATCCCTGCTCTGTATTTGGAGGCTCTTTCTTATCACGTTGTATCCTCAGGAAGAGGAACGAGAAATTTCACATGCTGGAGCACGGGCTGCACTGCATATCATGAGATTCTGGTGCCACCTTTTCCCACCAATTTCCATTACGGGATCTGGACATTAAACAACCCTTTTTCTTAGTCAAGGTGTACATCTCTACCTTAGACTTAAGAAACTAACTTTCAGTCATCTTACACATATGGTGATTGAAAGCTTACGCAAGTTTCATTCTGGTTGAGAAGGGACAGTGAAATTATTATGGTGGTCTAATTTAACAAAAACTGAATAAAGCTGAAAATCAGCTCTTTCATTACTTTTCCATTTACAGCTGTTGCAATCTCACTGGACAAGTAGACTTGAGAATGTATCTTCATGTGAAATGTTGCAAGGAACGCAGAAGAAAGCTATACGGTTTGGTTTGTGTTCAGTTGGACATCCATTTACTTTCCCTTCTCTGTAGGAGATCTGTTTCTTAAAATACTTCTTGTTACCGAGATTGTATAAGTTTGCAGTTGTTTTCAAAACATTCTAATTTGTACTTTATTAACATTTTCATAGATATTGTTGAGTGTCATTACCGAAATGATTCAGCACTCTGAAGAGCTCTGATATGCAATGAGCAAGAAAACGTTGCATCTGTTTTACCTACTGTTTTTTGGCTGCCTGTCCCTCAAACTTGTTTTTCTAAGGAGTGAAATCTCTGCATGTTAGACTAATTACTGCACGCCAGTTCCTTAACTCTTAAGAGGGCTTGGATGTCAGCTATGCAAAAGTAACAAGAGTGATGTAGCCAAGGGTCCAAGTACCTGTTAGGCCTGTGCAGTTGAAATGACCATATGAAATTAATATGGTGCTAATTGTCTCTGTAGCAAGCCATGGATTAGTGTTCCCCCCACACTGGTCCCTTTAAATATTGCAGTCAACAATATTAATGAGCATTGATGGTCCAGGGACCTTAAAACTGTTGACAATTCATAGTCTTTGCTACGTATATTTACTTACACCTGTGCAAGGGTCAGCCAAAGTGATACCAGGTGAGTTAAATCCATTAACTATTTCCTTTTTCCTGTTGTTGTTGTGGCTTGACTTTGAAATTGGTGGAAACTTTGCTGTTGCCATAATTCACATTGGAATTGTTCTTACAAATTTTCTTCCTTAGGAGGAGGTCTGCTTCTGCTTCCACTTTGCCCTCCCAGCTTACGGAATAATCTCTTCCAGCGCTGAGCTATGCAAGTACAGGTTTCCCTTCTAATTGCATAATAAGAATAACCAGATTTGTGTACATTTCCCGCTTTCTCTTTTTTTTTTTTCATTTAAAGCCTGAAACTGCAGCTGTGCTGAAGCGCACTGTTGAGGCTCTTATGGAGAGAGGAGCCGTTGTGAGGAACCTAGAAAACCTGGGAGAAAGATCTCTACCTTACAAAATCTCCAAGCACAAGGAGCGCCACAGAAGAGGAGGGTATGCACGATGCATTTTTCCTTAAAATCCTTTAAGAGCTCCTTTATAAATGTACATATGTAACTCTCATTGTTTGGTCTGTCTTTGTGCTTTTGCCTGTGTTCCCAGTGAGGTGGTGTGTGGCTGTGTGTGCGTGCGTGCGTTCTGCTTCAGGTGTTCTGTGGTTTTTGTCCTGTGTGGTGTGGGCTTTTTGGTGTTTAGTCGTCGTGTTCCGAGTAGCGTGAGCCTGGGCCTGCAGAACTACTTTCCCCAACGTACACAATGTTATTTTGTTATGCCATTTTTACGTAACTATTTTCCAAGCCAGTCAGGCTGTTTACTGGTAAAAGTAGTGCTTAATCTGCTGGTAACTAATTGGCAGGGTCGATTCTTTTTCTCTAATGCATCTGAACTCAGTGTTAATTACCACGTGTACCCTGTAAGGCTTGCGTTTCTGATGCAGTTTTTGTTAAGGATGTTAAAGATGACCACGTGGTTTAGGGGGAAGTATGGTAAATGTAGATGAAGCTGTGAATTGACATCTCGGATGTCGGGCTTCCCCCGCGGTGCAGGAGGAAGGCGCTGCGGATCGCACCCCCTGCTCACCGACGCCGGCGTGTTGTTGCTCCTTGAGGCTACCTCCGAAATGGATGCTGGCTCTCGCAAGGACTGAGAAATGTTGCTAGGCAACCCACACTGCGCTGGGGCCGCCTGCCGTAATCAAAATAACAATTAGCAACACACTCCTCCTAATCTCAGTAATGCAACTGTGTGTATCCAGAGGGTTGGCTGACCTGCCTACCTACTGTCTTCCTTGAGGGGCTTTCGGCACTGGGGAAGGCCAGGTGACTCCAGAGGTGCGCCTTTTGCGAAGCCCTTCTTGGGTCAGCTGCACAGGGGTGGCTCGAGGTTTCACTCCCTCTTCTGAGGACCTGTTCATTTTCCTGCGAAGCGGGAGTGGTGACAGCTGTCAGTCAAAGCAGACTGACAGAAAGGGTAGGGGAGGAAACCTCTACCATGTCTCTGTTACTTAACTGAAAGCAATGGCATTGTGGCCGTGACTGGCTTGCGCTCCTGCTCCATGGTGTCCTTCAAAATGTGGCTTGATCCTGCCAGTTTTGCATTTTAGGATGAAATCTTGTTGCCTACACATGGGAGCTAATCAAAGGCTTGTCTCAAGACAGAATTACTAATTACCTCATCCTTCTGTTGGAGTAGAAGCATTTTACAAACATGAAAGTATTTTCTTCTTGTACAGGTAGGGAGGTAAGGCAGCGGGACTAAGTTCCACTAATTTTGGATGCTGAAGTTGAGACTTCAGGCTTCTAGATTTTTTTTTTCCTACAGTTGTGGTGGGTTGACCCTGGCTGAATGCCAGGTGCCCACCAACGCTGCTCTATCACTCCCCTCCTCAGCTGGACAGGGGAGAGAAAATATAATGGGTGGGTCAGTGGCTCATGAGTGGAGATAAGGGCAGGGAGAAATCATTCACCAATTACCGTCTTGGGCAAAACAAACTCAACTTGGGGAAATTAGCTTATTTTATTACCAGTCAAATCCGAGTAGGGTAATGAGAAATAAAAATTAAAAACACCTTCCCCGCCCCCCCC